TATCAGAATAAAGGTATGGAGAAAAATCTTTTGAATACCAATGGAAAGCAAAACAAAACAAAACCAACCTAGAATAACAAACTTTGAAAATATCCTTCAAAAATAAAGCCAAAATAAAGAATCAAGAAGAATAGAAATTAAGAATCTTTTGTCATCAGACTTGCATCTTTAAATAACACAAAGATCAAAGAGGAATTTACTTATTAGAAAATAATATTTGGAAAATATTTGAGCCAAATGAAACAAAATGAAAACACAACTAATCTAAATTTCAGTTCAGTTCAGTTCAGTAGCTGTCGTGTCCGACTCTTTGCGACCCCATGAATCACAGCACGCTAGGCCTCCCTGTCCATCACCAACTCCCAGAGTTTACTCAAACTCACGTCCATCGAGTCAGAGATGCCATCCAGCCATCTCATCCTCTGTTGTCCCCTTCTCCTCCTGCCCCCAATCCCTCCCAGCATCAGGGTCTTTTCTAATAAGTCAACTCTTCGCATGAGGTGGCCAAAGTATTGGAGTTTCAGCTTCAGCATCAGTCCTTCCAATGAACACCCAGGACTGAGCTCCTTTAATGGACTGGTTGGATCTCCTTGCAGTCCAAGGGCCTCTCAAGAGTCTTCTCCAACACCACAGTTCAAAAGCATCAGTTTTTTGGTGCTCAGCTTTCTTTATAGTCCAACTCTCACATCCATACATGACCACTGGAAAATCATAGCCTTGACTAGATGGACCTTTGTTGGCAAAGTAATGTCTGCTTTTTAACATGCTATCTAGGTTGGTCATAACTTTCCTTCCAAGGAGTAAGCATCTTTTAATTTCATGACTGCAAGCACCATCTGCAGTGATTTTGGAGCCCCGAAAAATAAAGTCTGACACTGTTTCCACTGTTTCCCCATCTATTTCCCATGAAGTGATGGAACCAGATGCCATGATCTTAGTTTTATTAATGTTGAGCTTTAAGCCAACTTTTTCACTCTCTTCTTTCACTTTCATCAAGAGGCTTTTTAGTTCCTCTTCACTTTCTGCCATAAGGGATACTTAAAATCCTCTGGATGAGGAAATGGCCACCTACTCCAGTTTTGTTGCCTGGGAAATGCCATAGACAGAGGAGCCTGACAGGCAAGAGTCCATGCAAGTCACAGAGTTGGACACAACTTAGTTACTAAACAACAACAAAAATATCGTGACTAGAAACAGGTTTATGTCCCTAAATTCTTATTTTATAAAAAAAGGGAAATCTTTAAAATCAATCATCTAAGAGTCTGCCTTAAGAAACTAGAAAAAGAAGAGCAAATGAATAGAAAGTAAGTTGAAAGAAGGAATTTATAAAGTCAGAGTGGAAATAAATGATATAGGAAATGGATTGGCAGTAGACAAAAACATATAAAAACAAAAAGATTTTTTGAAAGAATAAGTAAAATTGATAAAATTTTAGATAGAGCCATAAAAGGAAAAGTGCACTATCATTTTCATTAATGAAATAGATGATGTTAATAACAGCTTCCGCAGACATTTGAATAATAGTAATGGAATGTCATAAGTAGTTTTAATGGTAGTGAATTTGACATCTTAGATAAAATGGGTAAATTTCTTAAAAGAAAAATTGCTAACCACTCAAAGAAGAATATGTACAATATATAAATACCCCATTATCTACTAAAATTTTTAATTCACAGTTAGTACTCACTCTTCCCATGGAGAGGGAAATGGCAACCCACTCCAGTATTCTTACATGGAGAATCCCATGAACAGAGGAGACTGGCAGGCTACAGGCCACGGGGTCACAAGGGTCGGACACGACTGAGCAACTAAACCACCACTACCACTCTTCCCAAAAAGAAAATTCCCGTTCCAATATCTTCACTGGTTCATTCTGAGCAATATTTAATATACTAATACCGAGATCACATAAACTTTCGGAAAATTAAAACCAGCATTGACTAGGTTCCAAAGCCAAATAGATATAATAAGGACAAAAAAATAAATTTTTCTCAGAATATTGATGCAAAATTCCTTAACTAAATACAAGCAACAAAAATCTAATAATTTATAAAAGGGTAATATATTATGACTATGGGGGGTTTACCTGAGAAATCCATGATTGTTATAACATTTATTAATTAATCAATGCAACTTACTCTATTATTCTGTCAACAACTCAAAGGGTTTAGAAAAAAAATTATTTGATTAAAAATGAAAACAATAATAATAATGAAGTAATAATAATAACTAAAAAATAAATAAATGATTTAGCTGAATGATTATTATCTACAAAAATACTACAACTGATATCGTATTAATACTTGATGTTGAAGACAATGCATTTCTCCCAAGACTGGATAAAAGTAAAGAGTGTTTGCTATCACGGCCTAATTGTAACATTGTATTAGAAGACTTAATTAAATAAGGCAAGAAAAAGAAATATAGGTAAAAAACTTACCTTTATTTGCAGAGGATATACTTGTAAGCAAAACAGAAATCAAATTAAAAATATGGAATCCACATCAATTCAGTTCAGTTCAGTTGCTCAGTTGTGTCCGACTCTTTGTGACCCCATGAACTGCAGCACGCCAGACCTCGCTGTCCATCACCAACTCCCGGAGCCCACCAAACTCATGTCCATTGACACAGTGATGCCATCCAACCACTCATCTTCTGCTGTCCCCTTCTCCTCCTGCCCTCAATCTTTCCCAGCATCAGGGTCTTTTCAAATGAGTCAGCTCTTCACATCAGGTGGCCAAAGTATTGGAGTTTCAGCTTCAATATCAGTCCTTCTAATGAAGACCCAGGACTGATCTCCTTTAGGATGGACTGGTTGGATCTCCTTGCAGTCCAAAGGACTCTCAAGGGTCTTCTCCAACACCGCAGTTCAGAAGCATCCGTTCTTTGGCACTCAGCTTTCTTTATAGTCCAACTCTCACATCCGTACATGACCACTGGAAAAATCATAGCCTTGACTAGATGGACCTTTGTTGGTAAAGTAATGTCTCTGCTTTTTAATATGCTGTCTAGGTTGGTCATAACTTTCCTTCCAAGGAGTAAGCATCTTTTAATTTCATGGCTGCAATCACCATCTGCCGTTATTTTGGAGCCCCAAAAGCTAAAGTCAGCCACTCTTTCCACTGTTTCCCCATCTATTTCCCATGAGGTGATGCAACCAGATGCCATGATCTTAGTTTTCTGAATGTTGAGCTATAAGCCAACTTTTTCACTCTCCTCTTTCACTTTCATCAAGAGGCACTTTAGTTCTTTTTCACTTTCTGCCATAATGGTGGTGTCATCTGCATATCTGAGGTTATTGATATTTCTTCTGGCAATCTTGATTCCAGCTTGTGCTTCCTCCAGCTCAGAGTTTCTCATGATGTACTCTTCATATAAGTTAAATAAGCAGGGTGACAATATACGGCCTTGACGTACTCCTTTTCCTATTTGGAACCAGTCTGTTGTTCCATGTCCAGTTATAACTGTTGCTTCCTGACCTGCATACAGGTTTTTCAAGAGGCAGGTCAGGTGGTCTGGTATTCCCAGCTCTTTCAGAATTTTCCACAGTTTATTATGATCCACACAAAGGCTTTGGCATAGTCAATAAAGCAGAAATAGATGTTTTTCTGGAACTCTCTTGCTTTTTCAATGATGCTCATAATAATTTTAGAAATAATGAAGGAATTTATCATGATTATTATGTGTATAGGTTAATATACAAATATCACCTATTTTATATATTATAAGGCAATGCAAATGTAAAAATAGATCAAAATAACCATTTAAAATATTGTCAAGAACTATACACTATCCTATAATACATGTAATAAATATGTGTCAGTCTCCTAAAATGAAAGCAAACATTTCCAAAAGAAATGAAAGACTCAAATATATATATATGTATATATATATTTATGTATGTATACACACATATAGTTATTTATGGATTAAAGAGTTCACCATTTTTATATATAAAATATCCCCAATAAGTCAATATATTTAACATATCAATCAAAATTCCAGCAAGTTACTGATGCTTCTTTCATTTCATGTTTTGTCAATTCTTTGTCTCTTTCTTTTTCTTTTCTGGGTATTTTATTTTTTATATTGTCTATCACTATATTGTCAAATATAGTTAATCAATCTTTCTTCAGCAGTATCTAATATGCTATTAAACCCTTCCAGTATTTTTTCATCTTAGATTTTATAATTTTTATGTGCCTCAAATTTTTCAGTTTTTTGGTTTTAGAATTTTAACTTCTTTCTTTTTAAACTGCTTTTCTTTTCATACTTCTCCCTAATATCCTCAGTTTTTTTTTTTAACTTACTGAATACACGGAATCTAAAATATGTTTTAATGTCATTGTCTATCCATTACATGCATCTATGGCATTTCTGGATTCTTTCTATTGAATAAAATCTGTACTCATCAAGGGTGATGTTTTCCTAATTTTCTGCATGCTTAGTAACTTTGTATTTAAATTCAGCCACAGTGAATTGAAGTCATTGGATGCTAGATAGTTTTGTATTATTTTCAATATATTTTTAAACAGAACAATAGAATGATCAGATTTACTTTTTGAAAATATAAACATGTTCCAAGTATAGGGTAACTGGAGACAATTTCACTAAAGTAAGGAGGCCCAGTTAGAAACTACTGCAGTAATCCAAGAGCGAAATTCTGAGAGGTTAAAAGGTTCCTAGGGCTTCCTTGGCGGCTCAGATGGTAAGAAAGCTGCCTCCAGTGCAGGAGACCCAGGTTCAGTCCCTGGTTTGGGATGATCCCCTTGAGAAGGGAATGACAACCCACACGAGTATTCTTGCCTACAGAGTTCCATGGACAGAGGAGTCTGGTGGGCTATAGTCCATGGGTTCCCAGAGAGTCAAACACAAATGAAGAACTAACACTTTCACAATTAGTGCCTAGCACGATGCCTATCAAATGGTAATGCTGGATAATTATTTGTGTTGCATTGATTCTTAATCTAATTATTTGCACTACCCTTTCTGATTTATAGAATATTTTATTTTGGAAAGCAATTCTATGCTGAAGGAAGCTATCCTGAAAAAGAAGATAGTAAAGTCAGAAATTAAAATGCTTCATATTGACGACTATGGTAAAGTTTTGTGCATGCTTTGTCACTCAAGAACAACTTTCTCTGTACCTTATAGTTTTCCATGTAAATGACTCTCCATCTTTAATATTTTGCTCTTTCTTTAAAAGAACTTCCTTTACAGTTGTCCTTTCCCAAAGATTTTACGGACCGAAACCAGTATGCTCTTCTGTTAATAATGTAAGTATTTTATTTGTTTTTGAAATAAAGGAATCTAAAGAGTTTAGTTTTTTTTTCTATGTCCCACATGCCAATATTCTGATTAAAAAACAACAGAAGAAACCCCATGTGTGTAGTTAAGCAAGACAGTTCTCAGTAGTGTGAGTTCCCCAAGGACACCACCACTAAATAATATGGATGTGTGTATAATTGTTTTTGCTTCTGTATTATACAGTGTTGTTAACTATAGGTGCAGTGAGTCAAGCCTGCTTTTTAGATGAAATGAAATAACATATAAAGTGTCTAGTACAAATGACTTTTATAAGTATTGTGATTATAATTCATTATTTTATGCAGATTGCATTAATTTAGATATTTTGATAAATAGAAACAATTTATCATTTCATTTTAATAAGCCAGATTATACAGAAAATGCAATAGTTAATGGTTTTACTTCCTCTATTGTTTATTCTTAACTCTAATACTGTGACCTAACTTTCTCCTTTGTCACTTATGACCAGAGGCCCAAAAAGTTCTTCGCATCTTCCTGAAGAAGTTGTTATTTGCTCTTATGTTAACTCCTTCTTCTGTAACTTCTCTTTCATTTAGTTCTTTTTAATTCTCTTTTTTTTAATTGAAGTATAGTTGATTTATGTTTTATGTATACAGCAAAGCTTTATATATGTTTTTTTTCAGATCCTTTTCCATTGGGGATTATTAAAAGATATTTACTATAGTTCCCTATGTTCCTTATTGCTTATCTATTTTATATATAATAGTGTGTATATGTTAATGCTAAACCCTTAGCATTCTTCCTCCCTTTCCTCTTTAGTAACTATAAATTTGTTTTCTGTGAGTCTATTTCTCTTTTGTAAATAAATTCCTTTATATCATTTTTCTAAGATTCCACATATAAGTGATATCATATGACATTTTTGTCTTTCTCCGGCTTACTTCATTTAGTATGATAATCTCTATTTGCATTAACGCTGCTACAAATGTCATTATTTCATTCCTTTCTGTGGCTGAATATTCAATTCTTATTTGAAGTATATGTGTGATTTATTGGGGAAAATATCTCAGGCACTAAAATGAGAACAAAATGGAAAAAAAATTCTCACCCTCATCTTCTGTCTCATTATACTTCCTTTTGGGAAAAGAGATTGTTCTTTTTATTCACTGAGAAATAAGGCTTCTCAGGGGAAAGAAGCCTGGTAGGCGTCTTTCCTTGAAGCATGACTTAACATACGCAGGGGCACATATTGACAGTTTTTCCATTTGGTATATCCTCTGGCCCCACAGTGTCACAACACTTTGGGGAAATTGTAGGCAAGAGTTCTGATTCTCTCCGTAGCCTTGAGTCAAAGAATCCAGCTAGCTTGTCCTACCACCAGATTTGTGCTTTGGTCTGAGTGATTTTTAGTTCATGAGAGGACTATGAAGAATAACCCAAGATTCAACTCTCTTATTAGAAGGAGTCAAGTCTTTTTTAGAGGCAGGAGAGTAAAGATTCTGGTTTGGGATTAAGGTAGCCCTAGGTTCTAATCTGAGTTCAAAGATTTACCAGTATATTGTTTAATTTTTTAAGTTTCAGTTTCCTTACAAATAAATTGAAGACAATAATGTGGAATAATTTGGATAAACATGTCACCATAGTGTCTGGAAGAGCATAAATATTTGCACTTAGAGTTTAATAAATTTTAAACATAAATATAATTAGTATTAACAATAATAGTCATTTTAATATTTAAAAGTATCAATATAGATATTTAATACTATATTTTAGCATCTATATAATTATTTAATAGACATTATTAAAGCAATTAAAATAATATAGTTAGGCCTATAGAGTTTACATTGCTACTATTTTTGATAATGAAGAAAATAAAAATGAGTATTAATTCATTATTTTTCATTTGTTTTCATGTGCTGACTATACTAAATATTAATTTACTTTATCCAAACTCCTTGATTTTCAGAGTTAAATTCTCAGAAGTTTCACAGAATATGACTTACAAAGCCCAACTGAGGAGTTTTTTATTTTTCATTTAAAAAATGATCTATTGCTTTGAGCTACATGATCATTCCTAAAATATTTAAGTTTGGAAATCCATATAGGTCAGAATGGTTTTAAGTGTTTTTTTAAGTGTCATTTGATAAAGTGTTGGAGAAGGAAACAGCAACCCGCTCCAGTATTCTTGCCTAGAGAATCCTGTGGACAGAAGAGCCTGGTGGGCTGCCGTCTATTGGGTTGCACAGAGTCAGACACGACTGAAGCGACTTAGCATGCATGCATGAATTGGAGAAGGAAATGGCAACCCACTCCAGTATTCTCATCTGGAGAATCCCAGGGATGGAGGAGCCTGGTGGGCTGCCGTCTATGGAGTCGCACAGAGTCGGACACGACTGAAGCGACTTAGCAACAGCAGCAGCAGATAAAGTGTCTTTTAAGTGTTAGATTGTTTATAATACAATATATACATTATATAAATGTATATAAATATATATGACTATATTATGTTTACATACATACAATATATAATTTATATAAAATATAATCTAAAATTAGATTATTTATAATATAAGGGCATTTGTTCCCCTTAAGATTAAGTCTGTGTTCAGTGATAAGTAAACTCCCCACTCTAAAAAATAAAATAATAATAATTTTTTTTCCTTAAGTGGGAAATTTGAGAGTCGAGAATAATAAAAGAAGTAACTATTACTTAAATGAGGCTAAGAAATGATTTAGTGGTTTTGGTATCACGACTTTATTGCTACTCTGTGTAGTACATCTGTTACCTGACAGACCCTGAATCACTTCCTCATCCATAGAGATGCATTTACATCCAGGAAATTCTATAATGAATGCATAATTGGAGACCAGCTGCAGCAATCTGAAGAGGTGAAGGAAAATTGGCCTTGAAGGAAGTAGCCTCTAGCCATTTGCAATCCTCTTTCTGCTAAGTCTTCATTATGGAACCTCAGAAGAAATGATCCTCTGATGACCTCTCTGTAGCCATATTTTCTGAAACGCAAACCTAATTTCATGATATTGAAAGTGCAGGTGAATCAATGGCAACTGAACATTTTACTGTAATAGAAAATATAAGAAGCATAGCCTTGACAGATGTTTCTCAGTAGCCTCTGTGTGGTCGTGACCCTTCTTGCATTTCCTACTCCCCTATTGTCCTTCCGGAGGCCTAAATGTCTTTCTCTAGTATTTCTCTGTAGTGTTACAGTGAGTACTCAAGAACCCAGTAGTCTGTATTCATATTTATACCTATTCTATTTCCATCTAGTCTATAGTATATATGCTGTATTCATCCATATCCATTTCAGCATATATTGCTTTGAATTATTATTTCTTAGTGTGTGAGTGTTAGTGACTCAGTCTTGTCCGACTCTGCAACCCCATGGGGGTGTAGCCACAAGACTCCTCTCTCCATGGAACTCTCTAGGCGAGGATACTGGAGTGAGCAGCCGCTCCCTGCTTCAGCGGTCTTCCAAACCCAGGGATCCAACCAAGGCCTCTGCCTTGCAGGCAGGTTCTGTACTGTCTGAACCACCTTATGTTATTCTTATTTTCTAATTCTGTATATGTAATTTAGTATAATACACATTTACTATGTTGCTTTTATGTGTAAGAAGCTGTGCTAATGGCTGAGAGGAGATAAAAAGGTTACAAGCATCTTGAAATCTGTAATCATTTTTTAAGATCTTATCTCCACAGTAGCTAGCACACATAGAGGAACCTTGTGAAAACTTACTGACTAAACTGTAATTTTTTTAATAGTCCAAGACTGAATATTACAGATAAAGATGTTAAAGGTGTTTATTTGTTAAATAGATGAATATGAATGTAAAGGCCTACAGCCTGGGAAGAAGCAGTGTAAACAGATGTACTATTTATTAGAGAATTCTTTTTCTTTGTTTGCTGTGTTCCTGAAGACAAGTATAGCAAGCTAAGGAGTTTAATTCAGTACCAAGAAATCATCATGTCTTCCTATTTTCTTTTATATATATATATATATATATACTTGTTTTATTTATGTTAACTTGCAATGGGTTTATTGTGATTATTTTTATTTATGTCTTCCCATTTTCTGCTCTTTCATGTTCAGCTTATCCATGCCACTCTTGATAAAGGTCTAATGCAAGGAGACAGTGACTGGTTAACAAATTACATTAGTTTCCAGAATGCAACACTCTCTTATGCTCTTATGACATAGTTCCATCTCACTGAATTCATCTTCCTTGAAATTATAATGAATTCTTATTCATCTATTGTCTTATCTTCCTGAAGCTTTCTTTCACCATCCTCATCAGCCCATCTAACAATCTCAAATCTATTCCTCCTCTGACAGTTACAGCCTTCTGTTCAAAGTCTTCACATATATCTTGAACAATTTTGATCCAGCAGTTACTTTTCCAACTCATCCTAATTTTATGAGGATATCTTTAACATACTATTTAGGGAATTTCTGACTCCCATTAGATTTTGCACCAATGTTTCTGAAGGAAAATCCACAATCTAGAAGTGAATATCCAGATAAATAATTTGTAGAATGAAATTATTATATCATGAAATATTTTAGCATCTTGAGAGAGATGTTAAAATTTTTATTTTACATATTCCATATGTTAAATGATACCTCACTTATTTGTGTATTCCTCCTAGCAACTAGTTTTTGCAGTCACTACTCAAACGTGCATTGAGTGAGTAGGTAGATAATGTCCAGAAACCATATGAACTTGGATATTACCACAGTGCCCCACTGTGTAATTTTAATTTGAGAGTACTACTCATTTTTATCTAGTATTTTTATCATTTAATCAATGTTATTCATATCAGAGTCCTACAACTTTGTCATCTTAATGGAACTGAGCTGTTAGTCAGCTCTTTTGTATAGTTAATCTGTTAAAAAGCAGGATATAATTAATTGATACATTGGATAATCCAGCTACTCATCTTCAGCAGTCAAGATAACATCTCTACCTTTTTCATACACACATTTTCCTTT